TTATTTGTTTTATTTCTTGAGATGGAGTCTCACTCTGTCGTCCAGACTGGAGTGCAGTGGCGTGATCTTGGCTCACAGCAACCTCCACCTCCTGGGTTCAAGCGATTCTCCTGCCTCAGCTTCCCAAGTAGCTAGGACTACAGGTATGTACCACGACACCCGGCTAATTTTTTGTATTTTTAGTAGAGACAGGGTTTCACCATGTTGGCCAGGCTGGTCTTGAAACCCTGACCTCAGGTGATCCACCTGCCTCAGCCTCCCAAACTGCTGGGATTACAGGCGTGAGTCACCACTCCTGGCCTCAATCCATTACATTTAAACAAGAACAAATGTAAAGCCCTGCAATTACATTCAAATAATTAAATGTACAAATCTAGAGAAATGTGTTTTTGTGTGAAAAAGATCTGGTAATTCTATATGAGTCAAGGTGTGCCTGTTTTTAAAGATCACTCCAGTCTTAGGACAAATTAAGAGTGTAATTTATTACAGATTGCCATAGTGGATGAGAAAAAATACATCTAATTTATAACTATAATTTTATAATTCATATTTTTAAATTATAAAATATACTGAAATATCCAATTCTGGATATCAAATTTTATGATGGGAACTATCAATCATCCAAGAAGAAAATAAAAAGACTGCATAATCTAAAACTCATCTGTTGTCAGGAACAGATTAAATGGCCAAGGTATTTAAGCTAAGAAGAACAAAAATTAAGGGGAGTCAATGACAGATGTTTTCAAAAACCCAAGGGTACCTCATAGACAGCACAGTTTATACATTTGTGTGTTTCTCTAAAGCACAGAGCTATAGCCAATATATAAAAATTATTTGCAGGCAGGCTTAACATATTCTAATCTTTCTAAAAATGAAACAGCAAGAGCTTTACTGCCTTCTGAGGTAAGCAGCACACAGAAATGCTCTCTTTCAGGGATGCTGTAAAACAAATTCTTACATTTGGAAGAAGTTTGCAGTGGAATGAGACTTCTATCTATAGCAGTAGGTCATGTGAGACTAAGGTAGTTTTTGTTTGTTTGTTTGTTTGTTTGTTTTTGCGGAGTCTTGCTCTGTCACCCAGGCTTGAGTGCCGTGGCGCGATCTTGGCTCACTGCAACCTCTGTCTCCTGGGCTCAAGCGATTCTCCTGCCTCAGACTCCTGAGTAGCTGGGACTACAGGCGTGTGTCACCACGCCCGGCTAATTTTTTTATATTTTTAGTAGAGACGGGGTTTCACCTTGTCAGCCAGGATGGTCTCGATCTCCTGACCTCGTGATCCACCCATCTCGGCCTCCCAAAGTGCTGGGATTATAGGCATTAGGCACCGTGCCTTGCTGGTAAAGTTCTTTTTTAAGAAATAAGTTTATATTTCTCTCTAGAAACTGACTTACTTTTTTAAATTCTGCATAACCAAAAGTTATTTGATTTTAAGTGAGTCTGTGATTGCTCCATTCAGACATTTGGCTTAGTTTGTCTCTCTATATTAATGGAGTTCTGTTGAAGAAAATCTCTCACCTGCAGGGACTACACTCCACTTGGCCATGTGTCACTGTGTATGCAAAATGTTTGTCACCTGCAAAGGAACACAGCAAGAGAAGGTGGCCAGATAATTCTTTTTATGCAAATCTATTCAGGTCCGTCCTGAATAGAACAGTGTCCTCTGTCCCATCCCAGACTGCAAGTGGTAAGAAAAGGAATGAAAGCTGGTTGCGGGTATGGGGAGGAAGCCTTAACTCCAGAGCCCATGCCCCTAGTCACTACACTATATTAACACGTATTTCTTCTCTGTTGTTCAGAAAAAAAATGGGCAGGGCCTCAGGAGGGCTTGGTATTGAAAAAATGCCCTTTGGAGGCTTCATACCTTAAACTCTAACTGAGAGTACTGAGAAATCCAAGTGGGTAAGGAATGAGGGGGTTCCAGGAAAGGTGTTGAAAGAGTAAAATAGAAAATGCAGAATAAATTCTACACTGGCTCAGAAACTGAGTCTTGGCTGAACTCTGCTGGGAATCAGGGGAAGGGGGCTCAGGAATTGGACGCTGCTTTCGCCACTTTTGTCTCCATCTTTCTCCTCTCATTTTTTAACTTTTGTTCTTCCCTACCTTATCTTCCTTCTCCTTTTTCTTTCATTTCCTTTTATTTTCCCAGCTGATTGTGTATTTCTGTCTCCTGTCTGCTCCTGCTACGTGAGGAGTGTGACTCCAGGAGAAAAAAGACAGGGGCCTCTGTCACGCATGATGAATGCTAAAATCTGCTGCCAGCTGTATTAATGAGGGTTAACGATGTGCCAGGAATGACATGCTACATGATGTATAACAATGAACAAGATATAGTGTTTACCCCCAGAAGGCTTATAGTTTCCACAAAACCAAAGGATACCTATGACAGGATAGGATACACACAAAGAAAAACACATGGAATAGATATGTGGTAACAAAGAACACAGAGGAGAAGCATAGTGTGATAATGAATTTTATGTGTAAACTGGGCTAAACTATTGTGCCCAGTTGTTTGGTCAAACACTAGTTTAGATGTTGCTGTGAAGGTATTTGCAGATGTGATTAGCATTTATGATCCACTGACTTTAAGGAAAGCAGAGTACCTTTTATAACGTGAATGGGACTCACCCAATCAGTTGAAGCTATTAAAGGGACAGGTTTCCCGAGGAAGAAGGAATTCTGTCTGAAGACCACAGCATAAAAATCCTGCCTGAGTCACTTGTCTGATGGCCTGCCCTGTGCATTTAGGATTTGAGACTGCAACATCAAGGCTTACCTGAATTTCCAGGCTGCCAACCTGCCCTACAGATTTCAGACTTGCAAGCCCCTACAATCGCCAAAGCCAATTCCCAAAATAGCTCTGTCTCTGTCTCTCTCTCTCCACTTACATATAAAATCTCCTATTGGTTTTGTGGAGAGTCCTGATGATAAACTAGTAAATAAGAGTAAGGTCGACCGGGTGTAGTGGCTCATGCCTGTAATCCCAACACTTTGGAGGCCGAGGAGGGCAGATCACTTGAGGTCAGGAGTTCGAGACTAGCCTGGCCAACATGGTGAAACCCCAACTCTACTAAAAATATAAAAATTAGCCAGGCATGGCGGTGCACGCCTGTAATCCCAGCTACTCAGGAGGCTGAGGTGGGAGAATTGCTTGAACCAGGGAGGCAGAGGTTGCAGTGAGCTGAGATTGAGTCACTGAAGCCTAGCCTGGGTGGGTGACAGAGCAAGACGAAAGAAAGAGAGAAAAGAAAGAAAGAAAGAAAGAAAGAAAGAGGGAAGGGAGGGGAGGGGAGGGGAGGGGAAGGGGAAGGGGAAGGGGAAGGGGAAGGGAAGGGAAAAGAAAAGAGAGGTCAGTTATGCTGCACATTTCAGAAGTTCAATGATCAGCAGCAGTTCTCCTCATCCCTCGAAACCAGACACACTCTGTCTCCAATTCCTAAGAATATCAGGCAACTTACCTGATATTCCCTCACTTTACATAAGCCAGTGGAAAGTCACTGGGTTTAGTTTGCTAAATTTGATAAATTCTTCTAACATTACATACTTAAGAGTTAATTCTATTATTTTCACCTGCTTTTCTATCCCTGAGCTTTTTATTTCTCAAAAGTATCCACACTGACTTGATAAGAGGCTGATCAACATCATCATGAGTCTGTAAAATCTTTCTGCTGCTAAGAAAAGTCTCTGTTAATTTACACACCAGACTGCCTTCCTTTCCTAGCAATCAAGTGTTTTCACTTAGATATTATGTATAGTCTGAAGTTTTATATGTTTCATCATCTGAAAAGGTCTATTTTAAATTCCAAATGTTTGCTAATTTCTGGTTAAGGTTGTCATGGAATTTTCTCCTTCTTCATCTAAATCATCTGGCAGTGAAGATATTGCCTTAAATCATCATATCTAGCTAACAGTATAGAGCTGGTATAAGTCATCTCTTATTTAGAAAAAAAAAAAAAAGTGTGTTAAAAATGTTAACTGCAAAGCACAAAGCGGTAATGTCATACTGCCCTCTATTTTGGTGCATGATACACACAAAACAGCAGGTGTTGATTTTCTCTGATATTCGAGATTGACAGCTTGTCTCTTTCTTCCTCCACCCACCATCATTATGTTTAATTTACATTCATCCATGACACACTGCAACCTGCTGATTTTATATGATTTTATAGCCACTCTGTATGTAAATAAAATGAGTAAAAAATATGAAACCCCAATAGTATAATTTCTGCCTTCCTGTAAAATCAATCTGCTCAACTGAATGCACTTCTATCAGAACATAGGTGAAATCCTACAGCTAGCTCTCAGGTGTGCTTGCATGAAGGAGAACTCAAAGGTCATAGTAACTGTAGAGTCTATTTCATATAAAAATCAGAGTACTCCAACTGCCATAAATTAAATCAAAAGATTCCCAAATGGAATGAGGTATAGAATAGTTCTGGCAAGTTTAGGCCAGACACGGTGGCTCACGCCTGTAATCCCAGCACTCTGGGAGGCCGGGAAGGGTAGATCACAAGGTCAGGAGATTGAGACCATCCTGGCTAACACAGTGAAACCCCATCTCTACTAAAAATACAAAATATTAGCCGGGCATAGTGGCGGATGCCTGTAGTCCCAGGTACTTGGGAGGCTGAGGCAGGAGAATTGTGTGAACCCAGGAGGCGGAGCTTGCAGTGAGCTGAGATTGCACCACTGCACTCCAGCCTGGGCGACAGAGCCAGGCTCCGTCTCAAAAAAAAAAAAAAAAGAATAGTTCTGGCAAGTTTATACGGACAATTCCGTGGTTGAACGCTTTCCTCTCTTCCATGAAACATAATATAAATTACTTAAGAAGACATGTGTAAGGAAACAAAAATCCAGCTATTACTTAAAAAAATTATTTAGTACCATCTCAAATATAAATGTTCTCTTTAATAATTTAATTGACACATGTCTTATTAAAACATGCAATTATCAGTCACATACAACATGCAGCATGCAGTAAATGGACAGCAGAGGTTAATAACCTGGAAGCATAGGATCTGAGAATGTGAGAGCAAGTTAAAGACAAGAGTTCCTCTCCATTGTCACTGAGGGTCGAGAAGCAATGCTGAAGCGTAGAACAGTGAGAGTGGGGGAAATACAGTTTGTCCAACACATAAACATATCTCCGCAAGTGGCGGCAGGTATAACTGAAAGACAAAGGTAAAAGGAGAGAAACAGAAAGAGAGGAGTTTTCCTTTGAAAAAATAAATCATTCTTTATGTCCTCAAAGCTTTCTGTGTATCTTCACTAGATGGTGCCCGAGAAAAAAAACTGTCAGAATGAAAAGATAAAAAAGAAAATGAACAATCAGAATAAAAAATGGGCAAAAGATCTAAACAGACACTTCATCAAAGAAGATATACAGATGGCAAATAAGCATATGAAGAGATGTTTAACATCATACATCACGAGGAAAATGCAAATTCAAACAATGAGACACCACCACAGACTATTTGAATGGCCCAAATCCAGAGCATGGATTACACCAAACGCAGGCGAGGATGTGGAGCAGCAGGAACTCTCATTCACTGCTGGTGGAGATGCAAAATGGTATAGCTACTTTGGAAGGCAGTTCGGCACCTTCTTATAAAACTAAATATACTCTTACCATACAATCCAGAAACTGTGCTCTTTAGAATTTATCCAAAAGAGTTGAAAACTTATATCCACACAAAAATCTGCACACAGGTGTTTATGGCAGCTTTATTCATAATTGCCCAAACTTGAAAACAACCAAGATGTCCTTTAGTAGATGAATAAATAAATAAACGGTGGTACATCTAGACGATGGATTATTATTTAGGGCTAAAAAAATGAGCTATCAAGTCATGAAAAGACATGGAGGAACCTAAATTACTAAGTGAAAGCCACCAATCTGTAAAAGGCTACATATTGTGTGATTCCATTTATATGACATTCTGGAAAAGGAAAAACTATGGAGACAGCAAAAAGATTAGGGGTTGCCAGGAGTTAGAGGCGAGGGATAGATGAATACACAAAGCATAGAGGATTTTTAGGGCAGTGAAGCTACTCTACTAATACTATGATGGTGGATACATACATTTATCAAAAACCAAAGAATATACAACAGCAAGAGTGAACCCTAACGTAAACTATGTAGTTTGGATGATTATGTGTCAATGCAGGTTCATCAACTATAACAAATATGTCACTCTGGCACAGGATGTTGATAGCGGGGGAGGTTGGACGCCAGGGAATAATATGGGAACTCTATTCTTTCTGATCACTTTTGCTGTGAACCTAAAACTGCTCTTTAAAAAGTCTATTTGGTGGAGAAAAAGGCATACTCACTGGGAGAAAAGTCTCAAAATACGAGGCTGTCATTAGTGAACCACATAAAATATGCCTTGGTAGAACAAAGTGATACAAAATACTTTTTCTTCATGGTATTATGAATACGTTCCTGGCAAGTAGGCAATAATACTACTACAATATGGAAGAGATTATGGTAGAGAGAACACTGAATTGCAAGTCAGAAAACTTAGAAATCCTTTGGAAAAGTGCTTGCAAAAATAAAATTTTTTAAAGAAAGACAAGACTTAGAAATCTAAATCCCGCTCACCCATTGGCAGCTTTATAACAGTGGGTGTATGACCTCTCTAAGCCTCAAACCCATAAGCGAATAACATAGAAGTAAAAAATTTTAAACTGCTCCAAGATTTTAAAGTGATATTATAAAAAATAAAGTAATAAGAGGACCAATAAGAATTATCACTATTATTGTCAGAGTAATTTCACTGATGCCACATTTCAAGCCATTTAAAAATAGCAAGCTAGAGAGAAGAGAATGTAAAATCAATCTGACAAGGCAAATCAACAAAATAGTGAATATATCATGTGACATGCCTTGGCTATTATTAGTCCTTGAGAATCATGTCTAAAGAACTACATCAAAACTATATCAAAGTATTAATACCAAGAGGGTGATAGGTAATTTTTAAAGTATGTTGAACTCAAAACTAGTAAGTTAGAAGATTTGACATGGGCAAATTTCCACAAATGAACAATCCATTCATCCATTCAACCCACTAGCCTATCAAACAACCAATCAGTCAAGCAGTAACTACTATCTACTGCATGTGGGAACAGTGCTGGGCATTGAAGACAGGGTGGGGAATGATGTACACACAATTCCTACCCTTAAGGAGCTTACAACCTAGAGTGGGAGACAGATTACTAGACACAACAAAATCCCTCTAAAATAGAGAAAGTCTTAAGAAGCTGTTAATCTCCAAAACAGAGTAGTTAAAAATCTTTTAAAGCAGGCTTATATTTAAAGAGATGTTTCTATTGAGTCTTGGAAAGGATTCTAGGACTCCATCCACCAAAAGAGAGCAAAAACTTAAGAAAATACAAGAACTATATTCTTGAAAAATGCATACCACCAGCACTTTAAACAAGGGATCACAGTTAACATTATCATCAGTCACGAAGCAAGCAGATGTCATGTGTCTCCTGATATGATCACAGCATAGCCAAAATCTAATCCCCCAAAAATCAAACAAACCAAAATTGAGGGACGTTCTACAAATAAACAAAAAACTGTTCTGTATTCTCCAAATTTTGAAGGCCATAAAAGACAAAGAAAGACTGAGGGACCATTCCAGATTAAAAAAGATGAAAGAAGACAACTATATGTAACATGATTTTGGTATCAGATCCCTGACTTGGAGGGGAAAAAAGGCATTTTTTACTTAAAATAGTTTTTATTAATGTTAATTTCCTGATTTTAATAAATATCCTTATTTTTAACAAATATACCATGCAGTAGTTAGTAATGGGGTATCATGTCTATAAACTTATTCTCAACCATTTCAAAAAAAAGAGACAAACAATAGTAAAGCAAATGTGGTAAAATTTTAACATTTGGGAATGTGAATGAAAGGTAAATGAAAATTAGTTGCACCATTTTTGGTAAAACTATTTTTTTAAATTTTCTTTTGAGACAGAATCTCATTATGTCACCCAGGCTGGAGTGCAGTGGCATGATCATAGCTCATTGCAGCCTAAACTACCTGGGCAAGCGATCCTCTTACCTCAGCCTCCCAAGTAGCTGGAACCACAGGTGCGTGCCAGCATACTCAGCTAATTTTTAAAATTTGTACTAGAGGCAGGGTCTCACTATATTGCCCAGTCTGTTCTTAAATTCCTGGGCTCAAGTGATCCACCCACCCTGGCCTTCCAAAGTGTTGGGATTATAGACATAAGCCACTATGCCCAGCCTAATTTATTTTTAATCTGAAAAAAAAAAAAAATAGAACTGGTCTTTTTGATAAACTGAATAATATCCATTTTAAGATTATGAGATTCAAACCTAGAGCCCTAAAATGTCATTCTGACCTCTACACTTAAAGCTTGGGACATCAGAAAAACAAGATCATGGGAAGTAGGCAAATGTGGTCTGGAGCTAACCCATAAAAAACAGTCACCGTTACTTAAGAATTATACTTTCACAAAAATAAAATTTCCTTAATGCCTTCTTACAAGAAAATGTCCAAGATTGTGCAATGTATAGTTCTGAAATGTTATTTGATATAGTTATGCTTCACTAAAATAAAGTATGATAATATTCTGTCCTTGAACAACATTCAAGTCTGTAAAAGATGACAAAAACCACAAAAGAGTAATACTTAAAAAAGATTCCAAGGTTAAATTTTCTAATAATGTATTTTGCAGTACTTATCAAATAAAATTATAACACATTTTCATAGCAACTTTTTCTGACTTTGTTTGGAGACGGAGTCTCGCTCTGTTACCTAGGCTGGAGTGCAGTGGTGCAATCTCGGCTCACTGCAACCTCTGCCTCCCGGGTTCAAGCTATTCTCCCGGGTTCAAGAAATTCTCCTGTCTCAGCCTCCTGAATAGCTGGGACTACAGGAGCATGCCACCATGCCCAGCTAACTTTTGTATTTCTAGTAGAGATGGGGTTTCACTATATTGGTCAAGCTGGGCTTGAAATCTTGACCTCAGGCAATCCACCCACCTCAGTCTCCCAAAGTGCTGGAATTACAGGCACGAGCCACCGCGCCCAGCCAATTTATTTTCCTAATTATCTATATGCTTAAAGAACTTAAAAAAATGAGATTACCAGAGGCAGGTTAACCTTTACCTAGACTAATAAAAATATTCTGCATATCCTTTCCCAATTTCCCTTCTTCTTCCCTCCCTTCCTTCCTTTGAGAAAGCTCATTAGTAGATCCATTAGTAGACTTAAAAATACCAAGAAATTAAATTAATAATAAATGTTTATGGCCTATATAAAGAAAATTACCAAAGTTAACTATTTGGCATAAAAGAAATCTTGAATAAATGAAGAAATACTAACTAGCATGTTTTTGGATGGGAAGACAAAATACAAAGAATGCCATTATCCTTCACAGATTCAAAATCTCAACTGTTTGTATCTGATTTTGACAAAATTACTCTAAAATTTTTTTAGGTGGCCATTTTAAAAGCCAACAAAAGACATGGATTCCCTTACAGAAAAATGTACCAACAGTAAATGCTTGGGATTCAGTGGTACAAAAAGATACATGGATTCTGCTCACATAGAACCAGGGGCCCTATCCCTCATTTTGAAGCCTGTTAGGAACTGGGCTACATAGCAAGAGGTGAGTGGCAGCTGAATGAGCGAAGCTTCATTTGTATTCAGAGCCACTCCCCATTGCTCGCATTACCACCTGAGCTCCACCTCCTGTCAGATCAGTGGTGGCATTAGATTCTCATAGGAAGGCAAACCCTATTATGAACTGCGCATGCGAGGAATCGAGGTTGTATGCTCCTCATGAGAATCTAATGCCTGATGATCTGATCTGAAGTGGAACAGTTTCACCCCAAAACCATCCCCCATTCTGTCCCTGTCTGTGGAAAAACTGACTTCCACAAAACTGGTCCCCAGTGCAACAAAGGTTGAGGACTGCTGTCACAGAATACACATTTAAATAGAGAGAGATTCAGAATCAGTGAGTAAAAAAACAAGATAATTTGTTAACAAAATAAAATATGATAAAGGTGGAAGAGGGGCTGAAGGGGCTAATTGTTAATTTTGGTGGTTATGAACGATTTCACTGATGGTATGACATTTGATATGAGAATCAAACACTTAGCAGAACTAGTCTCAACTTCT